TGAAAAGGCCGTGATATTTTTTCATGTCAATTTTTTCTTATCCTAATTCAGATTTAAAACATCCCATATGATTATTGTAATATGGTCTAATTATTTCCACTCACATTTTTCTAAATATCCTATAAACTTTTCATTATAAATATATGTCTGTTTAAATATTATTATATGCAATACTACTGTACAGGACTGACTTTTAAATGGAACCATTCATTGTTATAATTAATGACTTTGTGCCAATAAATATTTTGTATTTAAAGAAAAGTATTTTGCTTCTCGTCTGTACATTATTATAAACAATGTAAACATTAATTTTAATTGGAACCGAAACATGTAAAAACGAGAACTTCCCGGAATATCAGACCGTATCCGGATTCGTGTTTCTTTTAGAGTAATTGTAACATTTCCGCAAAAGGTTGGAAATTTGAAAGACGCCGAAGGTCGATTAATATTTACTTTATCTATGCAAGACGAGTGACAGCAAGTTTGAGGTAAGTTAAGTTATTAATATTTTATTCTTTTATGCATCATATCACCAAAATGTTGATGACGTTTGTGAGCATTTTCATTGAACTGATTTTCACTGAATTTGCAGAAACCGCGCAAACATGCATGTGATATATTCACTTATATTTGAGTCTGTTGCACTTGATTCCTTTAATCATTTCGGTTAATGTTTTCTAAGACTTACCGGATCCTTTAAATACGATTACGGTTTTGTTTTGTTTATGTATTTGGGGAAAAGGGGGGGGGGGTCCTTTTCCCCCACACTGGCCACATAAAAAAAAATGACATTTATGTACAGTACACTACGTAGACATAGACATAGATAATTGGAAATGATTATAATAGCAATAAATATCTCTGAAATGGAGTTCACTCTGATAATCAGAGGAGTAACCCCCTTTGAATGTGTCAGGAGCTATTTAAGTATTTTCTGACTTGGCCGTCGGGACACAAGAGTTCAAAAGGGATTAATGAGAGGCATAGCAGGGAAAGTATTTTATATTTGTACGGCAAAATGTCCTTTCTATAAGGGTTTGTGCCATATCATAAGAATAATTGGTATGGCAATGAGGTGTTTAAAAAATAATTGGTATGGCGAATGAGCCTGCAGTAAAAGTTGCTATGCCGCTGGCTCCCTGTTAAATAAATAGCTGTGACTCATTACGGCCACTTAGTCTAGACAAGTTTGGCTTTAGCCATACATATTATTACTTCAAAGAAACATTTAAATTTAATAGTCTGTCTTAAAAGTGTCTTTAGTCTTTAAAAAAATCTAAAAAAAATAATATAAGTTGACAAAACAAAACTTCGTTAACTAATGATGCCATATATATTGGATAGGGGGCAGATTTTCTGGAAAATGGTATGAAAATATGGGAAAACCTATGCATGTTTCCAAGTGGCTGTTCTGTTTCAATGATGTTTTTTAGTATTTTTCATACCATTTTCACCTCCAGTATGAAAATCTGCCCCCTATTCAATATGGGGTCATTAACCGTGAAGTCCTGTATTGCATAGAATAATATTGTAGCTGTTTTAAGTACATCACTACATGTATGTACATAAATGCCAAAAATTAATTTGAATATATAAATAGTTTTTTTATATACATGTATAATATATGTAATGTTTCTTTATTTATTCTAGGAATGAAGAGCAAAAGGATATAGCAGTCTTTATATAAAATAGTTCAGGAATCCAGTTGGAAAGAAGAGCTTTTCAGTTAAAAGTATTTCCTGGGAATTAACAGGAACTTCTATAAATGTTTTTCTTGAATAGTTATTCAAAAGGGCAGTGAAGTGAATGATTACATTAGACAAATATTGCTGAAGTGGTAAAATCAGTCCCAAGAGATGTACACAATTTCTACAAAACATGTTACAGCTGACTTTAGCTACTTAATCACATTGACATTTGTGTGCTTTTATGTTTTCTTTACATAAATACTACAGTTCTATTAAAATTAATATTTTTATTCTTTGTCACAATTATTACTAAAAAAATACAGCATTTTAATATGGTTTTTCATAGTCTCACTTGCATTGTACTTAAATAAGTTGTCTGTAGATGTTTACACTAGGTTTTCAGGCATTTCACTTCACTTGATTGAAACAGCATTTAAATTTTTTGTTAAATTATGGCCTGAAAAATACATATAACATTTTACAGGAGATTCACAATCAGTGAATGGCTGTTTATCACAGTAGTACATGTACATTTCACGGTCTTTTCACAATGGGCACATAATTTATCACGACTTTTTCACGGTGTACATTTTTGTTTTTCACAGGGTTTCTACGGTCTCTTTACCAAAGTTTTCAGTCGGCACCTTTTCACGACAAATAAAGGCATATACTGTACTATATATTTACATTTCACGGTCTTTTCACAATGGGCACATAGTGAATTATCACGACTTTTTCACGGTGTACATTTTTTTTCACAGGGTTTCTACGGTCTTTTCACCCAAGTTTTCAGGTGGCACCTCTTCACGGCCTTTTCACAAACTTTTCACAGCCTTTTCACGACAGTCATTCCACGGCATTGTCACGGATAAGTTTCACGGCCCACCGTAAATTAACCGTGACAAACACTGTAAAAATCACCAGCATTTTTACGGACATTTTCACGGCCAATCTACGGGGCATTGTTCCAGTAGTGTAACTCGTCTTGGTGAAAGTTTCTTCAAACACCCATCAAAGTATTTATATGAAGAAATTGAGAAACTAAGGAAAAATGGCAAAGACAGCCAGCAGGACAGAATGTCTTACGTGACATTAATCTACATACTTTTGAATGAAGATGTCCTGGATCCAGATGATATAGAATTGAAAATTTGCTTTGAAATTTTAAAGTCGTGCTACGGTATTTCAAATAAGGAGCTACCACCATGCCATATTATAGATGCTGCAAATGAAATGATAGGCAGATATCTGATTTTTCACAGTGATGATGGCACATATCACCTCCAGCATCAAACTATATTCGAGAGTATTCTAATATCGTACAGCAGAATTGATCCTGGATTAATCTTGTCCAGACTAAGTTTTGATTTTATTAGAGAGATGGTGCGTCTTCAAAATTATACAGTGAGAGAAGGGGAGATAGTAATGAAAATATCCACCAAATATTATTCCATGCTTGCAATTCGAATAATAGAAATAATTATGTCAGAATATTTTAACAAATTGCTGTCATTAAATTTTCAATTGTGCGAATCAGAGATAATAAGGCAAAACGATGAATGTTTTATGAAATCTTTGATTGAAAAAGCACACGATGCTTACTTTCAACCAGACTACGATTTGCAAACATTTGTGACATACAGAGGTGTGTGCAAACTCTGTAAACTTTATTTACCTGCAATTCTGTTAGAGCGCATTACACAACAAAACAAAATGAATGATAGTATCACTCTATTGGTTGATCACATAACGTTAATGCTTAACTCAAAATTCAAAAGAAGACATTGAATTTGTCTGTAAATCATCTTTGTTAGATGCCTTTTTAAATGTGTGTGATTTGGAAAACAATGAAAACATGCTAGACAACATGTGGGCATCAGTTAGAAGTTTAGATATGTCTGAGATGACAGAATACATCAGAAGTAGTATCAATAGAGTGTGTTCACGTTGTCCCATGACAACGATGAAATGGATGTTAAACAACATTGATCAAAGAATATTTGATATGAACCAATTAATGAAAACGGCATGTGAATTCAAAAGACTTGATATCGTACAGTTTCTATGTGAAACTATAAATCACAATCAGTTTGACTTTACTGCAGCATTTGTTGCAGCAATAAATAATGTTTGGAATGATACAGATGAGTCTGTCTCAAAATGGTTGATTAACAATATTAACCTCCAATTTTTTGATATGAAACAAATTACAAGTGAAGTTCTTGAAGTGGGATGTAAGTAAGATTTACAGTTTTTATTAAAATATGTTGATAACTGCAAGTTGGACATAAAACTAGTGTTCAATAAACTATATAAAGAAGGAAGACACAGTAAAGAGAGTCTATTAAAATGGATGGGAACAAATGTAGAAAAGGAAAAAATGAACACACTTGAAATGTCAAATCTGGCATGCTTGACCGAGGACTCTCAAGTAGTAAAGTACTTGTTTAATAATATTGATCTCGGTCCATTGGATGTCATGTCGGTCTTGATATCTTCGATGAACAGTAAATGGCAAGATGACAACAAATATCTAATACAATGGATTTGCTTAAATGTTGATTTAAAACAAATCAACATAATAAACGCCATTGATAAAGCTTTTGAAGAAAAAAAATATGACGAACTTAAGATATTATTGAAAAAATTAAAGAAAATCACAACACTGTGCTTCGAAATGCATGTAAAAACAAACAGTTAGAACTTATAAAAATTCTGTTATCTGTTGCTGATCATGATAAATTAAACATGAGAGAAGCAGTTAGATCAGTCTGTGTTGTAGAAAAGATGGAGCTGTTGGAATTTTTCTTGTACAATGTCGATCATAGTTTGTATGATGTACATTACGTATTGAAGGAATCGTGTAGGTATGGATGGACCCATATTGTGAAGTGGTTGTTAGACAATATAGAACATTCATCACTAGATATACATACAGCTATGCATACTGTATTACATAGAGAATTTGTGGGACCTGATAATACATTGGTAAGACTCTTACTTCAATATCCAATTCATAACACAGTTGATGTTGACGAAATAATCAAAGAGTGTTGCTTGTGGGGACTATTAGATTTAGTACAATTAATTTGCGAAAAAAATGATCCCAAGCAACTAGATATGAAAGAGGCTATGAATACAGCTTGTAGCCGAAGTCATTTTGATTTGGTCGATTGGATGTTAGCTAATATTGAAAATAACTTGTTTGACTTGCCAACTGCATTTGATAAAGCAATACATGCAGATTGTGATGATTTGAATGCTTCTCTGATAACACTTTTGATAGGTAATATAGATAATGAGCTAATTAATATGGCAAGCCTATTGAAAATAGAAAATAAAGATTGTTTGTATGATATTGTTGAATGTGTCTTAGGAAGTGTAGATCATAAAGTGTTTGATGTACAAGAAGCATTTAACACTGTATACGACGAAGTGATGTCCGACGAAATCTCCGGTGACGATGACAATGCTATTAATTACAAGAAGGAAAAGTACCTACCATTGATCAAACTGATACTTGATCAGGTAAATCCTGAATCATTGGACTTAGAGGACATTTTGAATCAGGCATGTCGTGATTGTTCCTCAGATGTTGTTAAACTGTTGTTAGAAAATACCGATCATAAACAGTTAGATGTAAAGAAAGCAATGAACATAATATACAACTTATGGGTGCACAACAAGGGCGACAATGACGAGGGGGCCATGGGACGGGAGATAGAGAAACAATACAATAATGAGGAAGAAAAGGAGGAGAAAAAGATAGGGGAACATGAGAATGATGAAAAGGAGGAGCAGGAGATGGAAGAGCATGAAGGAGAGAAGGATGAAAATGAAGTTGGGGACAAGGAAGATGAGGACAAAGAGGGAGAAAAACAGCAATGAAAAAAGAAACAAATACACACATTTGGTCAAGCTGATTCTCAAGCAAGTAAATCATGACTCACTTGACTTGAAAAAAGTATTTAATCAAGCATGTCAGTATGGGTGTTTGGATGTTGTCACGTTAGTGTTAGAAAATAACAATCATAAAAAGTTAGATATCATGGAAGCAGTAAACATAATATACAGCACAGTAAGAGACGACTTCGACGATATAATTGTTCAAAGAGAAAAATACGAGCTATTGATCAAAATTATTCTCGAGAAAGTAAATCATAATTCACTTGACTTAAGGGAGATAATGAATAAAGCATGTCGTTATGGATGTTTGGATGTTGTCACGTTTTTGTTAGAAAATATCGATCTTAAAAAATCCGATATAATGGAAGCCGTTAACATAGTATGCAACCCACCATATCTCGACAACGTGAATCATGACTCAATTGTATTAGAGATTATGTACAAAGCATGTTGTTATGGTTATTTAGAGTTGTTATGTTTGTGTTGGAAAATACCGATCATAAAAAGTTAGATATAATGGAAGCAGTGAACATAGTATACAGCTCAATAATAGACGACTACGACTACGTTAATATGAATAATCAAAGAGAAAAATACGAACCTTTGATCATACAGATTCTCGAGAAAGTAAATCATGACTTACTTGACTTGAAAACAATATTTTATCAAGCATTTTGCGAAAGGTGTTTAGATGTTGGGAGAAATTTGTTAGAAAATACCGATCATGATAAATTAGATGTAAGGGGAGCAATGAACACAGCATTTGACCCATGCAGTTTTTCCACCTCACGGATGATAATGGATAATGAAAGAGGAATGGGAGAACCTTTATTCAAACTGATTCTTGAAAAAGTGAATCATGACTCACTTGCATTATAAGAGATAATGACTTATGGATGTTGTAACGGTTATTTAGATGTTGTCACGTATTTGTTAGAAAATAGCGATTATGATAAATTAGATGTAAAGGGAGCATTGAACACAGCAATGAACACATCATTTGACCCAAGGAGGTCATATACCTTAGGGAGTGGAATGGATAATGAAAGAGGAATGGAAGAACCTTTAATCAAACTGATTATTGCAAAAGTGAATCATGACTCACTTGCGTTAAAAGAGATAATGAACTATGTATGTTGTAACGGTTATTTAGATGTTGTTACGTATTTGTTAGAAAATAGCGATCATGATAAATTAGATGTAAAGGGAGCATTGAACACAGTAATGAACACATCATTTGACACAAGGAGGTCCTATACCTTAGGGATGGGAATGGATAATGAAAGAGGAATGGAAGAACCTTTAATCAAACTGATTCTTGCAAAAGTGAATCATGACTCACTTGCGTTAAAAGAGATAATGAACTATGTATGTTGTAACGGTTATTTAGATGTTGTCACGTATTTGTTAGAAAATACCGATCATGATAAATTAGATGTAAAGGGAGCAATGAACACAGCAATGAACACATCATTTGACCCAAGGAGGTCCTATACCTTAGGGATGGGAATGGATAATGAAAGAGGAATGGGAGAACCTTTAATCAGACTGATTCTTGAAAAAGTGAATTATGACTCACTTGCATTAAAAGAGATAATGAACTATGGATGTCGTAGCGGTTATTTAGATGTTGTCACGTATTTGTTAGAAAATAGGGATCATGATAAATTAGATGTAAAGGGAGCAATGAACACAGCAATGAACACATCATTTGACCCAAGGAGGTCCTATACCTTAGGGAGTGGAATGGATAATGAAAGAGGAATGGAAGAACCTTTAATCAAACTGATTATTGCAAAAGTGAATCATGACTCACTTGCGTTAAAAGAGATAATGAACTATGTATGTTGTAACGGTTATTTAGATGTTGTCACGTATTTGTTAGAAAATACCGATCATGATAAATTAGATGTAAAGGGAGCAATGAACACAGCAATGAACACATCATTTGACCCAAGGAGGTCCTATACCTTAGAGATGGGAATGGATAATGAAAGAGGAATCGGAGAACCTTTAATCAGACTGATTCGTTAAAAAGTGAATTATGACTCACTTGCATTAAAAGAGATAATGAACTATGGATGTCGTAGTGGTTATTTAGATGTTGTCACGTATTTGTTAGAAAATACCGATCATGATAAATTAGATGTAAAGGGAGCAATGAACACAGCAATGAACACATCATTTGACCCAAGGAGGTCCTATACCTTAGGGATGGGAATGGATAATGAAAGAAGAATGGAATAACCTTTAATCAGACTGATTCTTGCAAAAGTGAATCATGACTCACTTGCGTTTAAAGAGATAATGAACTATGGCTGTTGTAACTGTTATTTAGATGTTGTTACGTATTTGTTAGAAAATACCGATCATGATAAATTAGATGTAAAGGGAGCAATGAACACAGCAATAAACACATTATCTGACCCAAAGTGGTCCTTTACCTTAGGGATGAGAATGGATAATAATATAAGAGGAACGAACGAATTTTTAATCAGACTGATTCTTGCAAAAGTGAATCATGACTCACTTGCGTTAAAAGAGATAATGAACTATGGATGTTGTAACGGTTATTTAGATGTTGTCACGTTTTTGTTAGAAGATACCGATCAAGAAAAGTTAGACATCATGGATGCAGCTAACGATGTATACAGCTCAGTAATTGACGACGTCTACGATGACTATGAAACTTTTTACCAAAGACAAAAGTACGAACCTTTAATAATACAGATTCTCGAGAAAGTAAATCATGACTTACTTGACTTGAAAAAAATGTTTTATCAAGCATGTATGATAAGGTGTTTAGATGTTGTCGCGTTTTTGTTAGAAATTACCGATCATAAAAAGTTAGATATAGAGGAAGAAGTAAACAAAGCATTCAACCGATCGATAGATGAGGACACTGACGACAATTTTTACCACAAGAGTAGTAATAAAGAACTTATAAAGGCGATACTACAGAAAGTAAATGTTCAACTTCTTGATATGGAGGTTCTAATGAACGAAGCCTGTAGAAAAGACTGGTTGTATATTGTCAGATGTTTAGTTAAAAAATATTGCTCATTCTATGTTTGATATTGACACTGCAATTAATATTTTAGTGCTTCGTGGTACCGAAAAAGCCCATGACATTTTCAAATTGCTTTTAGAAAACATAAGTCAAAATTTGTTTAATATAGAAAACATAATTGAACAAGCTTCTCGTCTGAATCACACTGAAAACCTTTTGTGGTTATCACAAACTAAGGATAATTCATTATTTGACATGAAATATGTGATGAACGAAGCTTGCCAAAACAGAAATCTACGGTTAATAAAATATGTCATGAAAAATAAGGACACAGATTGTTTCGATGTAAGGTCTGCAATGAATAAAGCATGTCGCAGTTCAAAAACAAATTCTCTAGAAATAGTTAAATGGCTTTTGGAAAACATTCCAAATAATCTGTTTCATTTGGAAAGCGCAATGAATAATGCATGCCGATATGACAATGTTGTTGTTGTTCAATGGTTCTGGAACAATCTAGATAGAAAATTATTTAACGTTAAAACCGCATGGAACAATGCATGTTATAATTGTAACGAGGCATTACTGTCATACCTACTCTCCAATATGGACGAAATTTTGTTGGATAAATCAAAGGCATTGTCTCAGGCTTGTCGGAATATTAACAAAGGAGATGAGATAATTTCATTACTTTTTAAACAACCAAACATGAATACACCAGAAAACTGTAAATTAGTGCTGACGGAAGCATGCGTTCACTGTAACAGAAAGGTGGTAAAGTTGTTGATGTCACATACTGATATAGTCTAGTCAGTTTAGTGAACAACCTGCAACTAATTGCAACACAAAGTTTTTCTCTGAAAAACAAGTCTGTTACTTTCTATGAACAACATACTAAAACTATACAAAAATATATTTTGCGGAAAGTGGTGTAATTTATAAAAATGTTTTGTAGTAAAAGTAAGGTTATACGAGTTGCTTCCCCTTATTTGCCAAAGTTGAAAAAAATAAAATTATGCAAAAAATGTTCTGTATTTTTTAAATCAATTGAAATAATACAATACAATAAATAATTATTTCAATTTAAAAGAATAATATTACAAATGAATCACTTTCCTGTCTCAAAATTTGTATATTTGAATAAAGATATAGACCGAGATTGTGTTCTGCTATTTTACAATCCAAGAATCTAGTTCTCCAAAATAGTGTTGGTAAGTAACCTTTAAATGGAAAACTGTACTGAATTAGAGTAACCAACTTAGTCACATTCTTACTTGGTATTTGAAAGAATTCTGCCCCTGTGTTTATTTTTTGTTGGGGGAGGGGTTCCAGAAACACATGTTTTGTTCTTTATAAAAAAAATGTTATTGCAAGATTCAAATTTAATGTATTTTTTCTCCACAACTTTAGAAAGAAAACATATATTTTTTTTTCATTTACCTTCTGGAACAAACATGTTAAGATTTAGAATCCAACAATGTTTCATAAAAAAATAAGAATGATGAGTGTTAAATGATTTTATGTTAAATATTTTTTCACAAATGAAAATTTCAGGCTCCTCGAAGCAAATAGCTACTCATGTAATTTGCAACGATCTCAGTACTCACACACCATATAAATAAAGCTTTGACTGTAACACTGAATCCACTTTTCACTTTGGTTACTTATTTATATTTTAGTCGGTGCCAACAGTATTTATTCATCAACTGTAACTACTAAGCTTTGAACTAGCTATGAGAACTCAGTGTCTTTTTGTTAATTGGTTATATACTCCGTGCTGATCTTTTTGAGTTGAGCCCTTTCCAACTGGGTTTTACAATTTGTTCTTACGTTGTTTGCTATTTAAATAAAATTGAGAATGGAAATGGGGAATACTGTATGTCAAAGAGACAACAACCCCACCAGATCAAGAGCAGATAACAACCGAGGGCCACCAATGGGTCTTCAATGCAACGAGAAAATCCCGCACCAGGAG